GGGAAGTCAGATTTCAAAGCATCTCTTAAGAAGAAGCAGACTGAGAAAACCGCTAAGTTGGGAAGAAAAACTCTGTGTTACTGCTAGCGTAATTTCATCTGGTGTTCTGGTAGCCTCCGCAACAGGACCAAGCACCGTACAGCTTTTATTCAGGTTTTATGCATTTTGGTGCTGATTTCTTTCCCAAAGCAATTGTACTACCTGCGTGTTGTGCAAACATCCTTTCCATGTTGTTTGGCCATATATAACAACAGCTCCTTGTGCTGTGTATTTTTTCATTTCAATGTTCATCTAACGACCCCCATCCTAATTGTCACTCGGTGTTCTCTGTAACACAGCCAGAGGAAACAGACCATTTCAGCTCATGGCTTTAGGTTTGTTAAGCAGAATTGCTCATACTGAGTGTTTCCGAGTCAATTTGTTTTGTTTTCTTAGTATTCAGAGTAACACGCATAGCTGATTCTTCCTGCAGCTAGAAGATCCAGGAAGAGAGACCCTGCTCTCACTTCCTTTCGAGTAACAGTTACCAAACGTAAGATTTGCATGCTTAAAGCATTGTCTCTGAACCTGCAGTCTGGATTCGGGTATTTTCATCCACCTCTTTAAAGAAACAATTTATCCCCTGGCCATCATTGGAGAGAACCAGTGGTCCTTGCAGGACAGCTTGAAACTGATTCACCAGCCTAAATCTGAAGAAGATTGTATGGTCCCCTTCCTACACCCCAGATGAACCCAGGCAGGGCATTCCGTTCAGAAGCAGCATCCCTTCACTGCTCATTTATTGCCTGTGCTGTTGCTTGATGCAGGCACCTGGGGCACAGTTTGCCCCCATGTTAGTCTGTTACACAGCCTAACTTAGCAGCTACTTTTGCTAAGTATTTTCTGAAGAATGAAGGCTGTGCGGGATGAGGTACAGAAACACTCTGGAGAATGTAATCCCATGGGTTTAAAAAGTATGGTTTTGTGAGACTCCTGAAATCTCCATGCCTTTGAACTAAAGAGTATCCTGCAATGAATAAATGTTCTGTTATTTCTGGGGCAAAGGGAACTTCTGGTTTCATAATGTTTCTATAGACTGCGTTAGGCAGTTTTTCTCTTCTTTACAATATTCCAGATTTGGGTTTCAAGCCAAGGTGTTTGCAAATGCAGATAGCAATGCTTATATCAGAACTGGAGGCTTGAAAGAGATCTCTGGTTTTTACATTGTTCTGGGCAGAGACAGTGCAGCTGTGAAAGGCTCAACAGCACTATGTGAGACCATCCCATACTCATTCAGACAATCTTATAGTCTCTTCTGTGGATTTCTTTTCTCCATTAATTAACTGTCAATTCTAACTCTACATTTTTTTTTTTTTTTGTTTCCAATCCTTTCACTGCTTTCAAATTAGAAAATGAAAAAATATCCTCAGATTTTTGACCTGTCTTCCAGGAAATTGCATTGGCCATTTTATTTCTTTTTTTTTTTTCTCTCTTCTCTTCTTCCTAGCCCCCTGTTCCCTTGCCCTGTATATTTCCAGTAGGACCCAGCATTTCCAGACTTGTTGGCTTTTAATGTTGCCTAGGATTGCACCATGCACACCAGATCACATGACCTTGCAAAACTGCAGCCCTGGTACATGTATCTCTGGTATTTATCATTCTATGGTATCAATATGCTCATTCATCTTCTTTGGCAGAACAGCTCCATCTTCTGTTTTGTTTCATGTTCTGGAAGTGCAGGCTCAATACATCGTGCTCAGAAAACAGTCTCTGGTGTTACCACTTCCCATCTCTTGAGTTTGCCAGTTTTGAACCTGGTGGATGAGCTCTCTGTACTGACCATCAAAAGGGTTTCCTCTCCCATAGAAATTCTAAAGCTCCATATAGCTAAACTTTCAATTTATTATTTCTTTTTTACAGCCAGCAGCATTCATTAGACTGCCTGCAGTATCAGCTTTTCTCTTGCTCCATTCTTGATACATGGGAACTCTAGCAGCGTGTTTCCCCTCAGGTCACTGAGTCATCCTTTGCTGTTTTTTATTTTTCAGCTTTATTTTCAGACAATTTGCTCCTCCCTGCCCACCAGAGACAGTACTCCTGCATTCTTCAAGCTCTCATTTGTTTTCATCATAGGCTTCACTGTTGCTCCAGAGGGACACCATTTTATGAGATGTCTAAGCTTGATCACAGCTGCCTTGCCATCAGGGTCTTTTCTATCAAGCCACCCATCCCAACTAAAACTTGCTGTCCTGTTCTCTCTCATGATTCTTGGTGGTGACAGGGGTATTGTTAGACTCTTCTGTTTTCTTTTCCCTGTTTTTCTGCCTAGTCAGATAACATCTTGCAAATTTCCCTCATCTGCCTCTCAATGTCTTGCATTTCCTCCTCCTCCTCATTTCTTTCAGGTTCTGTGTGATTTTCTGCCTGTCTTGCTCTGCTTTCTCCAGGTGACAAGCAGATAGAAAGCAGCTTGGGATTTCCAGGAGACCAGCACCTCTCTTCTGAGGTATCACTGCAGTATCAGCCCAAGCATGGGTGGATTAATCAAGTATTTCCAGCATGGGGAAGCAGAAGGAGGGTGAGCAATGAGCGATGGCTCTGCTGCCTCGGGTGCAAAGAGCAAAGGTTCCCATCTCCGAGGAGCATTCACTTCTTGGAGCAATGGTGTTATTTGTCTTTCTTTGATGGTGCAGTGGGTCTTCTTGCATTCAGGCCAGTGAGGAGGGCAGTGTACAAAATGGATGTGTGTGGCCTAACATATGGGTAACTCTAACAGGCAAAATAACATTAGAATGCTTTCCATTTGGAGATGGAATTTAGAGTAGCCAGATGAGTTGCAGAACAAACATCTCTTGTGCTTCTGCTGCAGTGTTTGTGTGAGCCTGAAGGCTAACAAGCAGGCAGGGAGCTCTGGCCCGCTCAGTTGGATAAAATAATAGTTTCCACTAACGATGAAGTCCGAACGGATGGAATTTTCACAACACTAAATGAGTGCATCAAAGAAATAAACCTTCGTTTCCTCTCACCCCTCCCTGTCTGTCCTTAACCTGAGCAAAGACCACAAACCACCATGTCAGTAATTACAAAAACATCTTTTCTGAGGAGGGAAACTCTGGAAAACGCCATTGGAATAGGAGTTGGGCTTTTAAAAATTGTTGTCACAAGATATTTAAAAGATGTGTGGATGTGGCACTTAGGGACATAGTTTAGTGGCAGACTTGGCAGTGCTGGGTTAGTGGTTGGACCTGATGATCTTAAGGGACTTTTTCAACCTAAATGAGCCTATGATTCTGTGTCTTTTCCTATAGATAGGCCTAGCAGAAGGCCTAGCTGATCGGGGGGAAAAAGCAACCATTTTCTATTAGCTTAAAAGGTACATCAAAATGAACATGCAGATTTAAAAACCTGTATTCTCTATTCACAGCAGCCTAGGTTACAAGTCTGAATTCTCAAAATTATTTTGGCTGGAAAATATGGGTAGGGATCTGTTTAAAGCAGCTTGGGATTTTCCTGATGTGCTTTCCCATGCTCAGGGGAGGGATTTATTACATCTAATTATACATTTGAGAGAATTGCTCTGGGCTAATGACCGACATTATCACTTGCAGCAAATATTTACAATGTAAACCAAAAACCATCACAAATATTTAGTTGGTGTGGTTCTGAGCTGCCATTGTTTATTGTAAAATGCTGATGTATCCTGCATCAGTCCCTTACTGGGCTGTCAAATTGATAAGGAACTCTTGCATGGGCTCAGGACCTTTAGAGGCTTGCTGTTTCTCTCCTATTCTTATTCTGGTTTGGTACAAACTATTCCTGCCATCTAAACCCTTTTTTGGTGGGAGGTTTTATTTTTGATTGGTTGGGTTGTTGTTGGGCTTTTTTGCTGTGGTTTTTGCTTTTTTTTTTTTTTTTTTTTTCAGAGGGGAGTTTTTTGTTTTATTAATCATTTCTGGCTGTGGCTGTTCCCACTCCCCTCTGGCTGGAAGGGAAAATGTCCATCAAAATGGGATGCTCTCCTCTCCCATTTTCTCCATGAGAAGCAGAAAAACCAGAAAACTGGATCTCTGTTTGCTACCAGGATCTTTGTATGACCCTTCTCTGGAAGTAAGAGTGACGCTGACTTAATTTTTACTGACTAAGTGACAAAGACACATTCCTGTTGTACTCCCTAGATGATGCTGAAGCCCAATAATCATGTAATGCCAGCCATCTCAGAAGTTCTTTCATTATCCCCAAAAATGGGATGGTATTTCAGTGATTTTGCTGTAGGGTATATTGATAGGAAGAATTTGAGCATTCAAAGGACATTTGATATCAAGCAATGTGAAGGAAGAGCACTCACCAGCTGAGTTTCCCATGAAAACTTAATTGGATATAAGCTTTTTTCCCCTATTATTCTGAAAAATATATGAAATTTTAATTTATAATGAGAAATATTAATGAATTTAATGGAGTAAATGACATGCTAAAAACAAACCTTAAAATTCTGCATAAAAATGAAACAGTTTAAGAACATTCCCTTGAATCTTACAGTTAGGCTGAAACTTGTAGAAATGAACAGGGTAAAGTGAGACCAAAAATAATTTGATGTCAAGGAGATCAGCACTGAAAATCAGAAACTTATTCACTCCATTTTCTTCTGAGTTATATAGACATTTCTCTGTGTTGTCATAATACATATTTTTATAAACAAAACAACTTGCTAACTTTCTTTTGTTTCTTTCCTGTGGGTTTTGGTTGTTGCTTTATGTAGAGTAGACTAATGGAAAAAATACGTTCAATAAAAAATGTGATAGATATTTCATATAAAAAACATCTGGACTGTAAAATATGTATCTATCTCCAGCACAAGGAGAAAAAAAAAAAGAAAAGAAAAGAAAGTTGTCAGCAACCGAGATCCAGACCACAAAGACAGTAACCACCAATTAAATTCAATGCATGTTAAATGCCTAAACAACAAGTTTAGTCGTGGCCCTAATCATTATGATTTCTAAATTGATGATAACTCTTTCCAACAGCTATTCAAGAAAAGCACTTTAAGAAGCAAGATGGCCAAACGATAAAAGAAGACAATATATCTAACAAGACTGCTGTACAAGAAGGTGGACTGCTACTAGAAGTGAGTGAAAAAATGCTGGTCTTTTTCTGGCTGTAATTTATTCACTTTGATGATATATTTGGGCTGATGATTTGTGGCAGCTTTGAACAAACAATCTGTCTTGGTGGGAGTCTTTCAAAAGCCACACTTGTGAACACTTCTTGCAAAAGCAAGACTGGCAGTCGTGACAGTCATAGTCAGTGTCTATCTGGGCAATTGCACCTTGCACCCTTGCTTACATCCTTGAAATTACCAGTGAACTCCAGCAGGCTAGTTCACAGTTCTTTTTCACTTTCAGGTTTATTTATTTAACTTGGCCCATATTTTGAGGATGTCAACATGAGCTTTCCTGGTTTCTCATCTGAACTGAGAATATTCTAGGATATTTTAGTTTATCCTACTTCCTCAACTCTGTGTTCTGCACAAACACCGTGTCAGCAAAACTTATCCCTTCTATGTATTTTTATCCCCTTTGGATAATTTTATATTGGCAGAGCAGCATAAAGGGCCATGCAGTACTGAGAATTGGATCTATTAATTTTAAGGAAGAATTAATGCTGCTGTGAACTACTGAACAAGCTAGAGCCCAGCAGTTCATCCCAGATAGGCCTGCATTTCAAACACATGAGGCAATAATACCTTTTATACACCGAGGTCCTTGGAAATTCCTATGTGATTAAGATTACATATGTACAATCATTTTGGATAGGATAGTATTCATGGTGTAAAAACTGTGTTTTAATGACAGCCCTGAGATGCATATAAATGTAAATTAAATAGTAGCCTCCAGCAAATAATTGCTGAATACTATTAAAATAAAACACATTTTAGTATGAGATCCAATATTGTAAGTTACTCAAGTCTATGGAATGGAAACTGGCACTCTGCTTTCCTTCCTCCAAGTATTTCAGAAGATTTTAATTTTAGATTTCAAAGCTAGTAACACAGCGGCATCTGATTAGTTACTGCTATTGCCAAAACAAGATGTTTGGCTGTCAGGTGTTATTTTGCAGCCATTTCCATTCTCAATGAATAGGGAATACGGGGTGTATAATAAATTATAAATATGGTGAGTATATAATTTTTAACGAGGGTCTCCTATATTTAGTCTATGTTTTGTTGTGTGTACATGATATGCCCACAAGTTACAATCATTGAGCATCCTCAAACTGTAGACTGACTGCTGTGATTGCATGGAGAGAACATTGCCACAAAACTTAGGGCAGGTTACGAGAAGCTGCTATTGCTAAATATGCTCTGCTTACTGCAGGGTATGCAGGAGTCACATTACCTCTAAATACAGGGGAGATATTTTATCCTGGATCATACTTAAAGTGGATCATTTACTGGATGATTAAGTGCATGTTAATATGAAGTTACTTGCTAGGCTTCATTTATGGGCACGTGTGACCTAGAATAAGAGGGTGAGTTTTCCTCTAGGGCTTGTCGGGAATGTTCTCTGAGGATTGAGTTTGGCTCGGGTCCTCATTCAGTGGCTATAGCACACGAAGCAAAGTGGGTTTTTTATGTTGTTCAAACAAATTCACCATGTTGGTTATTAGGAACTGTGGGATTTTAACTAAATATCGCATTTCTGATTTCTTCCAAGAAGAAGCAAACCATGGTTGCTGTTCTTTGTATATTGACTTGTGAATCTGACCACTTTATTTGCTCTCAAAAGATATTTTTCAGCTATTGAAAGCCACTTTCCATGTCAAGACCTTGCACTGTGCAACCTCTGTTTTATATAATACAAGCCAGAATAATCTGAATCACCAAAATATGCGCGAATAATACTGTTCCTGAGTGCAATGATACTAGAAAGTCAAGAATAATTGCTTTTTTTTTTTTTTTTTTTTTTTTTTTTCTAGTGGTTATAGCCACTCTGCTTTATGTATGCAGAGAAATATGGGATAGCAAGAACCTAATTACTGGTAAATAGTGTATCTGGGACTGTTGAGTCTTGGAACAACGCGGTATTTCCCCTTTCAGCCTGAAAGAAAACAATGGAATTAGGCTGTCTTAAAAATATGTTTAAAATGTTTTTTATTTCTAAAGGCTTCTGCCACAACATGTGTTTTTTATTTAAGATTTTATGGAGATTTTTTATAGCTATAATCAAATAGCTTTCATCAGCAATAACAGAATAAACAATGATACCAGTTTATCAAAGACATTTTAGTGGAGCACAGCAGGTATCTAAACAAATAATTTCTTTTGGTGCTTTAAGATAATTTCTTCTGGATTAGAGACTTTGCTTGCCATCTTTGTTTCCCTTTGAAGGGAAAACAGACAAGGCTGTAAGAACCAAACTCTAATTTTATGATGTTTTTTTAAAATATGTCCCATTATTGCAATCTTTACTGTCCTTTGAGCTTTCACATTCCAACAGTTTGACTGCAGTAATGATTTTTAACTTTGCACTTTCAAAATATTTTCCAAGACAGGTGGTTTTGCAACCCCTGTGCCCCATGCCTTCTGGCAGAAAAGGGGCACATTCAGTTTCTGAAGCCTGTTAGTGAATACTTAAGGAACACTGGGCCAAACCCATAACCAGAAAAAGGGGAAAATAAGTTGTACTGGCAGTCAACAAATCCAGATAGAGTTTATGGAGTGATGGGGTGGAGAAACACAATAAAATGGTGACTTGGAAAAATAATGACTCACTGGTGGGTATCTAGGCAATAGCCTTGATTGCAGGATTCTTCTCATGGCTGTTAGCCAGCTCCTGCTCTTCCCCCCAGCTATGCTGTGCTCGTAATCTTAAGTCCAGACTCAGAGTCTACACTATGGTGGAGGTAATTGCCCATCCCAAACGGCTGTGTTACACTATTCACTGATCCCTGGAAGAATTAAATGTCTGCTATTAAGGGGGAGGCTCTCTATGGAGTTGCTTCCTTAATGACATGTAATCGGGGATTGCCCCACCGTCACCTCCAACACTGCTTCTTGGGCAACCAGCACTTGTGCACTAAGCAGCACCCTGCTAAAGTTGTCACTTGGGCTTTATTGACCACTTCACAGTTGCTCCTGCAGTTTTGCTGCTTGTCATGGACGAATAATTGATGTTCAAATTTCTGCCCTCAACCCTTGCTGCTAAGGAGATGCCTTCATGGACTGTCTTTACTTCTTTGTTATGTTTGTTGATCTTCTATTATGCTTCTGTAGGCTGAAGCATAGGGTTTATGGCATGTCTGTCTCCAGATGTATTGGATGTAATTATTTTCACGTGTGAAAATGGTGTTTTATAACCAAAATTTCACAATAAATATAAAGAAATATGGACAACGCAGGCAGCTCCTGAACAGATGCTAGTGGAGTAAGGCTGTCTGAATCTATCATGCTCCCTCTCACTGATGAATATTGATAAAGGCCAGACGTGGCTTTTTTTTGTCATTTCCATGCTTACTGGCAGTTCAGACTCTTTCAGAGAAGATCCATGTTGTTTTTCAGGATGCTCCAAGCCACACTTTTGTACAGTTCAGAGTCAGATTTCCATAAGTCTTCTCCTCTTAAGGCTTCAGGGCACAAGAATCACATTTCTGTGGTTTTTTTCTCATGTTTTTCTTTATGGCTGCATTGAAGATGCCAGTCATTAGACTGTCCTGATACTTCTTATTCAGTCACACTCTACATTCCATTAAATGCTTTTATCAAGGACCTGGATAAGGGGATCAAAGGCACCCTTAGTCATTCTCACAGGACACAAGGTTGGATGGGTGTGTTGGCCTTTTTGAGGGCAGGAAGGTTCTGCAGAGGGATCTGGAGAAGTTTACTACTTATTTAAATTTTTAGACAGAGACTTTGTGGTGCCTGGCATCTTAAATATCTTAAAATCACAATCATATGATCCTCTACTAAAGAAATAAATAAATTACAAACACTTTCAAAACCATGAAAGCTAGGTTTGATGGTGCAACCATTATAATTCTCCACTGATATTAAAAATCCTAGCTTCATTACATTAGCTACTTAAACAAATAAAGTTGGGTTTTTCAACCTGAGCTTCCATGTTTTGTAGGCATGCTTTTGTTTCACCAAAGTATGCAGAGGAATTTTACTGATTTGAGTTGTAAGTAGCAAGACTAGCAAGGCACTTCAGGTTATTTACCTTCTGAACCAGCAGCATTTGTGCTTGGTATTGGGTGCTGGTGCAAAGCTACCGCACAATCGGGTGTAGATCCTGTAGCACAGAGAAAAGGCCCTTTTTCACCCAGACAAGTCCTTTACAGATAATTTCTTAATTCCATATCACAGGTTTGGAAATTCTGGTTCTAACTTGGTAGGTCCCACCAAAGTCAATGAGGTAATTTTTTTACTGCTTTAGTACCAAATAGATCCCAGGTCTTCTTAATCAAGACCAACGAAAGTCAAATTTTAATGCAAGTGTATGATTTAAAATTTGACACAATGTAAGTTTAAAGCTTATTATTTAACATTATGTTGCTACCTCAGAAATGGATGCAAATAATAATCTTTCTGGGAGTTACTTTGGAGAGGTGAATGTGCAGATTTTGGCACTGAAATACATCTCCCAGTGGCCTCTACTAACACCTTGAACTAGAGTTCAAGTTTCATTCCAAGGGAGTTGGAAAATGATACATTAGAAAACATCCTATTGGTGCTGTTCTTCACTCTGCATAAGGAAATAACATAGGAAACCCTTTTCCTACTTGGTTTCCTGTCATTTTTTTAAACTTGTTAGTGTAATTCCACTTCCTTCTTCCAATTTATGATTTATTTAATGAGTTCTTGATAAAACTGTGGTCTTGAAAAAGGTACTCCAGTTTGAATTTCAGTGTGAGAGCAAGAGATTTTTCCTCTTCCTGTTATTTTTAAACTTAAACTTGAAAAGGCAAATTGCAAATCCAAAAAAGTGCATGGAGATTATATGGATCTATGACCCATGGCACAAACTTCAGAAATCAAAAACTGTTAGAAAGAGACATTTTTGGTTTATTCTGGTCTGGAATCCCTCTTCAGCTTCCCATAGTGCTGACACTCTCTTAGCACAGTCCTTC